GACACAGGGTATCAGATTGGATTAAAAAGCAACAATATACTGTCTACAAGAGATTCATTTTAGACCCAAAGATACCTCCAGATTTAAAGTGAGGGAGTAGAGAACCATTTATCATGCTAATGGGCATCAAAAGAAAGCTGGGGGTGGTAATCCTTACATTAGACAAATTAGATTTTAAGCCAAAGACTGTAATAAGAGATGAGGAAGGACACTATATCATAATTAAGGGGTCTGTGCAACAATTGTAAATATTTATGCCCCTAACATGGGAACAGGTAGTTATATAAGCCAATTAATAACAAAACTTAAAAAACACATCAATAATAATAAAGTCTCCTAATAGTAGGAGACTTTAACACCCCACTTACTGCAATGGACAGATCATCCAAGTGAAAGATCAATGAGGAAAGAAGAGCTTTGAATGATACACTGGGCCAGATGGACTTCACAGATATATTCAGAACATTCCATCCTAAAGCAGCAGAATACACATTCTTCTCGAGTACACATGGAACATTCTCCAGAACAGACCACATACTGGGTCACAAATCAGGTCTCAACAGTACCAAAAGATTGGGATCATTCCCTGCATATTTTCAGAACTACAGTGCTTTGAAACTGGAACTCAATCATAAGAGGAAATTTGGAAAGAATTCAAATACATAGAGGCTAAAGAGCATCCTACTAAAGAATTAATGAGTCAACTAGGAAATTAAAGAAGAATTTTTTAAATTCATGGAAACAAATGAAAATGAAAACACAACTGTTCAAAACCTTTGGGATATAGCAAAGGTGGTCCGAAGAGGGAAGTATATAGCAACACAAGCCTTTCTCAATAAACAAGAAGGGTCTCAAATACACAACCTAACCTTATACCTAAAGGAGCTGGAGAAAGAACAGCAACGAAATCCTAAACCTAGCAGGAGAAGAGAACTAAGAAAGATTAGAGCAGAAATCAATGAAATAGAAACCAAAAGAACAGTAGAACAGATCAACTAAACCAAGAGCTAGCTCTTTGGAAGATTAAGTCTGGCCAGGGGTTTATCTATCTTCTTATCAAAAAGAAAAAAAAGACTCAAATAAATAAAATCATGAATGAAAGAGGAGAGATCACAACCAACAATGAAGAAATGCAAACAATTTTAAGAACATATTATGAGCAACTACATGCCAACACATTAGGAAATCTGGAAGAAATGGATGCATTCCTAGAGATGTATAAACTACCAACACTGAAACAGGAAGAAATAAAAAATCTGAACAGACCCATAACCAGCAAGGAAATTGAAATAGTAATGAAAAATCTCCCAACAAAGAAGATTCCAGGGCCAGGTGGCTTCCCAGGAGAATTCTACCAAACATTTAAAGAAGAATTAATACCTATTTTTCTGAAACTATTTCAAAAAATAGAAATGAAAACCTCCAAACCCATCCTATGAGGCCAGCATCACCTTGATCCCAAAACCAAAGATCCCACCAAAAAGGAGAATTACAGACCAATATCCCTGATGAACACAGATGCCAAAATTCTCACCAAAATATTAGCCAATATGATCCAAGAGTACATTAAAAAGCTTACTCACCATGACCAAGTGGGATTTATTCCTGGGATGCAAGGGTGGTTCAACATCCACAAAGCAATCAATGTGATACACTACATTAATAAAAAAGACAAGAAACATATGATCCTCTCAATTAGTGCAGAAAAAGCATTTGACAAAGTGCAGCGTCCTTTCTTGATTAAAATGCTCCATAGTGTAGGGATGGAGGGAACATACCTCAATATCATAAAAGCCATATATGAAAAGTCCACAGAGAATAATCATTCTCAATGGGGAAAAACTGAGAGCTTTTTCTCTAAGGTCAGGAACATGACAGGGATGTCCACTCTCACCACTGTTATTCAACATAGTAATAGAACTCCTAGCCTCAGCAGTCAGACAACAAAAACAAATAAAACTCATCCAAATTGGCAAAGTCAAACTCTCACTCTTTTGCAGATGACATGATACTGTATATAGAAAACCCAAAAGACTCCACCCCAAGATTGCTAGAACTCATATAGGAATTCAGCAATGTGGCAGGATATAAAATCAATGCACAGAAGTCAGTTGCATTTCTATACATTTACAATGAGATAGAAGAAAGAGAAATTAAGGAGTCAATCCCATTTACAATTACATTACAATTGCCTAAGATACCTAGGAATAAACCTAACCAAAGAGGCAAAACATCTGTACTCAGAAAACTATAGAACACTCAAAAAGAAGTTGAGGAAGACACAAAAAATGGAAAACACATTCCATGCTCATGGATTGGAAGAACAAACATTGCTAAAATGTCTATGCTACCCAGAGCAATTTATACATTCAATGCAATCCCTATAAAAATACCATCAACTTATTTCACGGAGCTGGAACAAAATAATCCTTAAATTTGTGTGGAACCAGAAAAGACCCCGAACAACCAGAGGAATGGTGGCATCACAATGCAGGGCTTCAAGATCTATTATAAAGCTGTGATCATCAAGACAGTGTGGTACCAGCACAAAAATACACACATAGATCAATGGGACAGAATAGAGAACCCAGAAATGGGCCCTCAATCTATGGTCAAGTCATCTTTGACAAAGCAGGAAAGAATATCCACTGGAAAAAGACAATTCCTTCAATGAATGGTGTTGGGAAAACTGGACAGCCACATGCAGAAGAATGAAACGGGATCATTTTTCTCACACCAGACACAAAAACAGATTCAAAATAAATGAAAGACCTAAATGTGAGATAGGAATCCACCAAAATCCTATAGGAGAACCCAGGAAGCAACCTCTTTGATCTCGGCCACAGTGACTCCTTGCTGAATATGTCTTTAAAGGTGAGGGGGGAAAAGGCAAAAAAGGAACTATTGGGACTTCATCAAAATCAATGCTTTTGCACAGCAAAGGGGACAATCGATGAAGCCAAAAGACAACCGACAGAATGGGAGAAGATATTTGGAAATGCCTTATCAGATAAAGGGCTAGTATCCAAGATCTATAAAGAACTTATCAAACTCAGCACCCAAAAAAACAAACAATCCAGTCATGAAATGGGTCAGAGGACATGGACAGACATTTATCCCAAGAAGACCTACAAATAAATGGTCAATAGGCACATGAAAAAAATGCTCCACATCCCTCGTCATCAGGGAAATACAAATCAAAACCACAATGAGATCCCACCTCACACCAGTGAGAATGGAGAAAATGAGTAAGTCAGGAAATGACAGATGTTGGCGAGGATGCAGAGGTGGGACGTCATGCACGTTGGTGGGAATGCAAGCTGGTGCAGCCACTGCGGAAAGCAGTGTGGAGGGTCCTCAAGAAGGTGAAAATAGAGCTACCCTATGACCCAGCAATTGCACTACTGGGTATTCACCCCAAAGATACAGATGCAGTGATCCGAAGGGGCACCTGCACCCCAATGTTCGTAGTAGCAGTGTCCACAAGAGCCCAACTGTGGAAGGAGCCTCAGTGTCCACTGACAGATGATGGATACAGAAGCTGTGGTCTGTGTGTACAATGGGTATTACTCAGCCGTCAGAAAGGACGAAATCTTGACATCTGCAACAACAGGGATAAAACTAGAGGATATTACGCGGAGTGAAATAAGTCAATCAGAGAAAGACAATTACCACATGATCTCATTCATATGTGGAAATCAAGAAACAAAACAGAGGATCATAGGGGAAGAGAGGGGAAAATAAAATGAGAAGAAATCAGAGAGGGAGACAAACCATAAAAGACTCTTATTCATAGGAAATAAACTGAGGGTCACTGGAGCGGGCGGGAAGTGGGGGAGAGGGTACCTGGGTGATGGACATGAAGGAGGGCATGTGATGTAACAAGCACTGTGTATTTTATAAGACTAATGCGTAACTGACCTCTACCTCTGAAACCAATAATACATTATATGTTAATTGGATTTAAATATGATTTTTAAACGCTTTTAAAAATCATATAAAAATTAGTTTGTACAAAAGTTTGATCAAATCTTGATCAGCTGGATTCTGGTTAAGGAAAATGTTATATATATATATATTTTTGGAAAATGTTATATTTTTATTTTTTTTATTTTTGGAAAATGTTATATTTTTCAACAAACCCTTTTAACACTGGGAAAAAATCTAAAGATTTTAAAAATCAGAATTTATTCTTTAATTCAAATAAACTGTTAACACATTTTGAGTAATAGAGTAAAAAGCACTGAGACATAAATAATGCAAATCTTGTAAAAAGCAGTTAAGATTAAAACGCTGCTGTGCTAACAGAAACTTTTCATTATGTAAATTTTACTCATTTACTTACGCAGTATAATGTGGGGGTACAATTTTAAGTTATTCATGAAGCAAAGGTGATGCTAAAAGGAATGGCACTCCTTTGGTACATGGTGTGCATATGTATGCTGAACTCTGGTGTTTGGAAATTAATACAAATCATGTATAAAAAATAGTGAAAAAATAGTGTAGATAGTAAGGATAATAATAAAGTCCTATATGTAGAACAAATATATAAAAAGTTTTTTGGAATAAGCAAGTTTTGTGTTTCCACCCTCCTGGGATCCAGGCTCCTAAATTTATGACATGCTGTAAGATATAAAAGTTAAAGAATCACTACTCCGGAAGGTAGAATTTTGGAGAAAAAAAATAATACAGGATGACAGTGCTTCTGTGAATTGTGAACTTCAGGAAACATGCATAACATCACACAGGTATTATGGAAATAATTTATTCTAATGTAAACGTTTGGGCTGAATATCATAGATCATACTTTTTTTTTCTGTTTTTACTCTTCATTTTTATTTTCTTTTTCTCCCCAGATGTACTGAGATACAGTTGGTAGATGCTCTCATGTAAGTTGAAGATGCACAACGTGATGATTCAGTACACCGTGTATATTACGAGATGTTTACACAGCACGGGTAGTCAACGTATCCCTCCCCTCACAGGATATCCCCTCATACCTGTTAGAATGACTGTCATCGAAGAGACAAGAGGTAACAGGTGTTGGTGAGGTCGTGGAGAAAAGGGACTCCTCATGCACCGTTGGTGGGAATGTAAACTGTGGAGAACAGTATGGAGGTTCCTTAAAAAAAAAATCAAAAATAGTATTACCGTATGATCCAACAGTCCCATTTCTGGAATGTACATCCTAAGGAATTTAAATCGGGATCCCCTGGAGCTGCCCGCACCCCCATGTTCACTGCGGCATCCCTCACAACAGCGGAAACAACGTGGGCATCCATCACTGGAGGATGGATAAATGCCATTTGAGACAACTTGGGTGAACTTGGAGGGCACGATGCTACGTGAAATAAATCAGACAGAGACAAATCCTGTATGATCTCACTTACGTGTGGAGTCTAAAGAAGCCAAACTCGAGAGACACAGCAGGGTAGCGATTACCGGTGGCTGGTGGGACCGGGTGGGAAATGGGGAGATATTGGTCAAAGGGCACAAGCTTCTAGTTATAAGAGCGATAAGCTCCGGGTACAGCATGGTGACTATGCTACAGTATTTGTCCTCTGTTTCACTCCACTTAATGCACTCAACTTTCCAGTTATTTCTAAAGTATGGAATGCAGAGCAGTGCATTTCCTTTCAATATAGGGAACTAAGACATAAACCAAACTTCGGGACTAGTCTCAAAGTTCCCTAGCAATACACAAAATAGGGTTCCCATCGATTTCTGTAGAGCACTACTGGCCGAGCACAACGAGGGACCCCAAAGAAACAAATCGGTAACGGGAGCACCTACTTCATCAGTTTGGTAGATTTTGTGGATTCTGCTGTTCATTCAAAATTAGGTATTATTGCTAGACGTGTTCACCCCGAGGCTAGAGAATTGGGAAAACCAGCAGCAGCGCTGCCCCGTGGGAGGCCTGCAACATTAGGCAAGTGATGCTGGGCTTTGGGTTCCCCAAGTGGGCGGCTGGGGCAGTGGCACCGAAACAGGTGCGGGCGAGAAGCCGCAGGGCGGCCAGGTGGTCCAGCAGCATCGGTATGTTACGTCATTACTTGGGAGATGAATGCATAGACACGCCTGGGGCTTCTGGGGCTCCTGATTTTCGGGGGGGAGGCACAGATCATCTAAGGAAATGCGTTAGTGGGGCGGCTGCAGGGACTGGTCGGACTTGACGGGGTCCTGGTTTCACAGAACCCCCAGCTAGGGCAGCCCGGGGCCCAGCGATGGAGCGCCCGCCTCCGGCCCAGGCCGTGACCCCGGGGTCCCGGGATCGAGTCCCAGGCTGGGCTCCTTGCAGGGGGCCTGCTGCTCCCTTGGCCTGGGTCTCTGCCTCTCTCTCTCTAGGTCTATCATAAATAAATCTTAAAAAAAAATAAAAAGAAATAAAAATAAAGTGTCTGTCTAGAAAGAACCCAGAGCTCTGTCGTTTTGAATTCAGTAGAGCACCTGTGCACCTGTGTATATTCCTGCTTCTGCCAGGAGACGTCACTCCCCTCCCCGCCCCCCCCCCCCATCTGCACACTCCCACCTCCACTGTGCTGCTATGGAAGAGAGCAGGAGGAAATGTCAAATTTTACATCCCTACGTAGTAGCCAGCCATCCCCCCCCCAAAAAAAAACCTCCCTTAAAACAAGAACAGACACTTGAAAAATGCTTCTGTGCCTCTCTCTCTCTGTGTCTCTCGTGGATAAATAAATCTTTTTAAAAAAATAAAATAAATAAAAATGCTTGTGCGGCCTTTGACAGGTATTTTTTTTGTTTTTTTTGTTTTTTTTTAATAAATTAATTTTTATTGGTGTTCAATTTACCAACATACAGAATAACACCCAGTGCTCATCCCGTCAAGTGACAGGTATTTTTAAAGCAGAGGAAAGGAGAGGCTGGCTCGACCCCCGACAACGAGGTGAGTCAGAGAGAGCCCGGGAGGAGGGGCGAGGCGAGCGGGGCCCGGAACGCGGGCACAGGTGCGCGGGGGCGGAGGGGGCGGGGCCTCGGGAAAGGGGCGGGGCCTCGGGGAGGGGGCCGCCAGGCGGCGAGGGGGCGGGGCCTCGGGAAAGGGGCGGGCCCTCGGGTTGGGAGGGGGCGGGGCATCGGGATGGGAGGGAAGCAGGGAGGCGGGGCCGCGAAACGGGGCCCTCCGGGCGGCGGGGCTGGGCGGGGCTGGGCGGGGCTGGGCGGGGGGGTCCCCGACCGCTTCAGGCCGGGTGAGGTCCCCGCCTTCGGCTGAGGCGCCCTGACCTTCACGCCGGGTCCCGGGAGTGAGCCGGCCGCCCCCCGCCCCGCCCCGCCCCGCCCCCGTCCCCCGCCGCCCGGACGTGGAGCCGGACCACCCGCGGCTCGGCCTGCCTCCGCCACAAGGTCGCGGCTCCCGGGCGGGCGCCCGCCGAGCCCCGCCTCCGGCGCCGAGCGAGCAGAGGCTGCGGGCCCAGCCGGGCGGCGACGCGGGCTCGCTCCCACCCCGCCCCTGCTAGGAACCCGGAAGGGCGTGAAGACCCGGGAAATGACCAGACGCTTCCTTTACCGCTCGAGGCCCGGCCACGCCCGGTCCCCGCCCGGACCCCGCCGCTGACGTCACAAGCGGCCGGCGCCGCGGGGGGCGCTGGGAGGCCGGCGGCTACGTCACGGCCGCTCCGGACCGGAAGTTAGATCCGGCCCCTGGCGGAGGGAGCCGCCGCCGCGCGAAGGCAGAGCGCGCTGCGCATGCGCGCGGCGGCCCCGGCTGTCGGGGCGGGCTGCGGGGCGGGACGCAGCTCCCCGGGCGCGCCCTGCCCCTCCGGCGGCGGTGGAGCCGTTCCTCCCCGGCGCCTCCGGCGGCCCAGCCCGGCCGGCCTCCTTGCGTGAGCTCGGCGCACGTCGAGGGCCGACCGGGAGGCCGGCCGGGTCACGGGGTGTGGACACGCACGCTTTCACCGAGTGCAAGCACGGGGGGAGGGGCTTTGCCGTCGGCCCCCACGGTGGAGCCCTCGTGTGCGGATTGCGACTGCCGCGCTACCGGTGTGTGATGCCTTCTCGCCGGCTCGCGGCATGTTAGGGGGCTGCGTGCTGGCAAGAGCGAGCAGAGGGCCGCGCACCGCGCAGTGCATCGTGCAGCTCACCGTGCATCGTGCAGCTCACCGTGCAGCTCACCGCGCAGCGCATCGTGCATCGTGCAGCTCACCGTGCAGCTCACCGTGCATCATGCAGCGCATCGTGGCCTGCACGCCTAGAACCAGTTCCTGAAGCTGCGGGGCGGGGGATCGGAGCCTCTCCAGCCTGTGTGCTCTCCGTGGCCACGCTCCTCCCCAAACTTCCCCACCCCAGGGAAGAGGCCAGCGTGGGACGTCGGGGTCTAGAGATGCAGAATCGAGCTCAAAAAAAGTGTCGTGCCTAAAGCAGCGCAGCTCCAGAAGTAGCTTTGAAGTTTGACGCCCAGGTGGTCCCGAAGGAACGAATGAATGACATACATACATACATGAATAAATGAACGTACAGTTTCCCCCTTAGGTCTCCATCCCGAAAATTAAGTATATGCTAGAGATTCTTAAATGTGCGGGCAAAGCAGCGACCCAGCACACACCTGCCGGCCCGCGCTTCCCACCGGAGACCCTAACGGAGTTGTTTTTGGGGTTCCGGTGACCTACATGCAAACGTGCCGCATTGCATAAAGCGATTGCGTGTCACCTGTGATTGCTCCCGACGTGTAGGATTCAAATACCTCTGCATTCTTTCCTGACTTGTGAATAGAAAAATCATGTTCTGCGGATGTTTTAAGGAACCGCAGACGAGCAACAGTGTGTCACTGGCACTAGGAGGAAACATTTCCCTCGGTTGAAACTAGACTAAGTCTCCAAGGACGTTAATGTCACAATGTACATGATTTAAGTGAATCTAAGTAACATTTATTCTAAAGCACCTTGGGGCTGGGGGGTAGCGGGGTGGAGCTGGAGAAAAGTTTGTTCTCTTAGTTACACAGTGTCCTGAGCTGCTTTCACTGAGAACAACTGTTACACTGTCCTGGAGAATGAGCTTCACAATGCGCTCTTCAGATGCTGTCATGGAAAGAACACTGGACTGGGCCTCAGAAAAACCGCAGTCCTTTTTTTTTTTTTTAAAGCTTTTTATTCATTAAAAGAAAAAGATTTTTATTTATTTATCCACGAGAGACACACACACGCACACAGAGGCAGAGACACAGGCAGAGGGAGAAGCAGGCTCCATGCAGGGGCCGGATGCAGGACTTGATCCTGGGACCCCTGGCTCACGGCCTGGGCCAAAGGCAGAGACGCTCCACCCTCCACCTCTGAGCACCCCCAGAGGCCCCAGAAAAACCAGAGTTCTCATCTCACTGCTAACACTCCATCTAACGTCTGGGGCACTTCAGATCTCTGAACTTTCCTTTCTTCACTTTTAATGTGATCTTTGTCCTTCTCCTGAATTCTCCTGTGGTATTTTGCTCTCTGTTTTCCTCTGGTGAACTCACTACTTGTGCTCTTTGTACCTAGCAATGCTACAGTTTACTGGATACTAACTGGAAATTTGTTGAAATAATCCTTTCCAACTCTTAAGGTTTCAACTGGGCCATTTTTCTTCTTTGAAACAATGTACATAAGATGATATTAGGAATGCTATTGCCCAAGAATCATCCCACAGGTTACTTATTACAAAGGTGTTAAGGTATGTTTACAGTGGATTAATCTGGTGGATACCACCTTTAACCGAATCATCAAAATTAACCAAAAATTGGACAATAGTTTGACATTCTAGGCCCCTTGCAGTGAAACTTGGAGGACACATCATCTATAGAGCATTCCTGGAAAAATGTTCAATCTGAACCTAATCATAATCTAATCACAATCCGACAGACAAATCCAGACTGAGGGACATGTTGCAAAACCATTGGCCTGGAATCATGAAAAATCTAATAAAAGACAAAAACCCCAAGGGAATTATTCTAGATTAAAAAGGCATGACAATTATATATAGAGAACTTGACAGAGAAGCTCATTTATTTTTGTTATAATATCCAAAACAGCCAAAGTGCTCCTCGGATTGATTCCTAGAGTTACTTCTTGTTCCTGCTAAGAAAACTAATTAAGCTAACTAAAACTAATTAAATGAGTAGTGCTTCATAAAAGTTGATTC